GACCAGAGCAGGCAAATAAAACTCGCTGCAGCTAAGAAAAAGGTAAAGTATTTTACGATTGAGCCGGCATTATACATTGGGAAACATTGGTCCTGTGTTTCCTCTACGAGTTCGTGTTGCCGGTGTTTGTTTCGTTTTGTCATCCATGTCTTTTCGGAGCAGGGGTGTTGTCATTACACGTCGTCCGACCTCTACGTTTTCGCTCGTCCCGCCTCTCTCGCTCCTCTTGGGGCTTTAATGCGCAGGAGAGACCGGCGCTTCTTCTGGGCCTCTATTGATAGCATTAACTTTCCTAAGATTATGTAGACTATTTTTAGTCCGTAAAAGGCATTCACAGCATCTCACGTTGTGTAGTTAGTCAGTGATTAACTTAACGTGCACTGTTTGCCCATCGGCTTCATGACAGTCTTTCTAGCTAACGTTAAGTGTGCTTATTGGCGGACCTTAACGTGCTAACTAAGGCAAGTTCACGTTAGCAAGCCGGCTAACCAATGAATAGTTTGCTGTGTGTGTGTGTGTGAGTGTAAAGAATGCCACACTGCAGTCGGGCTGCTTTCTGCCCTGTCTGCAGGATGGCTCAGTTCTCTAAGAAAATGGCAAACAAACAAGTCATTTTATAACAAACACTGAGCGAGCATTGTAGCACAGTTAGCTGGACAGGATGACGGGGACTGTTTTGACAGCTGACACCCCTCTTTCCTGTCCTGCTGTGTGCTTTAGCTAGGTGTGTTGTTGGGCTATTCGGAAAGATGGCCTTATCAGCTGGGAAATGTTAGCTTCAGGAAGTGACTCGTCAGCATTTCTCAGCAGCTCCGTGGATGAGCGGTGATAATATTTGACATTTCACTGCCATTCAACCCCATTATTTTAGAAATGGCAGCTCCAGTAGTTCCCCTATGATTCCCTCTGGCTCCCTATTCTAGCTGTCACAGGCCTCATGCCCAAACACACGTAGACAGGGGGAAAGTGTGTATTAACGTTCACATGGATGATCACAGTTTAAGTTTATAGCTTCATCTTGTTTGCTTTAGAACAATAATGTTGAACAAGAAAGTCAAAGTGACAGTCAGTAACATGTTGGCAGCGGCTTTGCATTCCTGCCTTTGAAACCTTATCTTCTGACTAGTTGGTGTATCGTCAGAGAACGAGAGCAGTCTAACTCGGCTTCATCTCAGACAAAATTAATTTGTCCTAATTCAATTAGCTTGCCCGGAAAAGACCTTCTAGTGGTTAGAGGTTCCTTGTTTCTACGCAGTGTAATTAGTTGAAAGTTGGGACCAAGTCCACGGGGCTACTGCTGGATTTGAAAGAGGAAAACTAAAAGAAAGTGTCATTTGTAAAAAAAATAGGCAGCAGAAGAGTTTTAATTCTGGCAGTCAACAATTGCTTGCTACACTTCTCACACATCTATCGTCTCCTCTTTTTTTTTTTTTTAAATGTGCTGCTCAGCTGAAGGAGTTTCAGCAGAAGAGCTCCCCTGCTAGTGGTGGAGGAGAAAAGGGAGGTGGAGGAGGAGGTGGAGCAGGGGCCAAGAAGAAGAGGAAGGTGAAGGGACTGAGCCAACACGATGCACCATCAACAGACAGAAACTCTCCGGACAATGTAAGTCCGTCCCAGTCTTTCCATTTTGTTTGCTTGCTTGTGGTCCTGCCCTTGTTGATCAAATACCAACCTCTCTTTGTGCTTGGCAGCCCGTCTTTGTTCTTCCTCATGTCTTATTTCTCTATTTGTATTTTAACCACTGTTATAACATTAAGAAGCCTTTAAACTCACTTTTATGTCGGCTGCTTACAATAGGCAGACAAGACAGTTTAATAGTAACTGTGGGCTGGCAGAGCAGTAGATAAAGTAGTGTTTGTTTTCTTCAAGTGTAATTGAGGATATGTAATGGCCCACTTGGCTATTGATCACTAAATATTTTGCCGCCTGTGAAGTGATAAGGCTGAATTACTGTTAAGTTTGGAACTGCTTTCCACCTTGCTATCAAACGCACATTATCATACAACACAGCGCATTGAGCATTGATACTTATCTGCCAGCCAGGTGAAAGTAATGTTTCAGAAAGAGAAGGATACTGGGCAAGACACAGACAGTGACATTGGCCATTGTAGTGGCCAGTATGCAGCAAAAGGTGAGGTATGTTGTTAAATATACTGAGTATTCAAAGCACACATTGATAATTACATAAACATTCGTCAAATCTTGTGCAGCAAAGTTGGTCTGCACATTCACTGTGTTTTTCACTTGGCTGTTACATATTTGTTGGGATAATGTGCATTTGGAGAAATAATCCAGTTGTATGTTAGTTTTGTCAGATTTGCATATCGGTTTGTGTCATATCAACCTTATTTTATGTTAAAAACATGTTATTATATTCATTTATATGCATAGTATTGCCATAATGAGCAATAGTCTGCCTATTAATAGTTTCTTTTGTCCTTTATGCTGCTGTCCTTTAAGGGACAGAATATGGACAGATGTACAGGGAAAGATCCGTATCGAAACAGCAATTCATTATTCAATAATCATAATCATGCAAGCAGTGAATCACTCAAAGGTGTGTTTATGAGAAATCATAGATGGGTAGTGTGTTTTGGCTGGTGATTTTGGAAATCTAAAAACAATTTCTGCCTTAAACAGAGTCTGTTGGAGCTCATTGACACTCTTAATTTGCTTATTCGCTGGTTGTCACTATTGTTATATTTAAATATCTAGCATCCCTTCAGTTTCCTCTTCTAAGCAATTGAGAGCACCAATGAAGACACACGGTGAGGCATGTGACTCCAGCACACAGCTTTCACACACAGGGGCTGACTTTGGGCTCAGTCTTCCACAGACCATGTCGGTCAGTAGCTTTCTAAGCCCGACTGGAATCTGGGCTCGTCACAGCTCGCTGTTGAGTCTCGTTGTTTGTTCTGACACAATTTTTCCCCCAAAATATTTAATTTTGGTTGGCCAAGACTGGATAGACTCACGTAATCTGAGATGTGATGCCGGCAATAACCAAATGGAGTCCAGTGTTAGGGGTCAGAGCAGAGGAGACATTTTATGATTATAGCAACACACACAATGATAACTCACGTTATAAAATGTTATCCAAACACAGTTGTTTCCCCTTTCTAAATGGGCTTTATATTCAAATGTGAGTTAGGAGGCAAATAATCATTGACTTGGCTCAGGTGATGCTGGCAAGGGGACATGTGAGCAAGTTCAGTGTGTTAGTTTGTAGAGCTGATTCCACTTGAAGCTGAAGCAGCGAGGGATTTGTTGTCAGGGATGTTGCCACTCCACAAAGGCAACATTTGGAAAAATGCTGCGTCCCTGTGTGCTGCTACTGTGTACTGTGATCTATAGTCTTGTTTACACGAGTACATTTTATTCAGATAGGGTTATTTTGTTTTATCAGTGGTGTTAAAGGCTCCAGAAAGATGCACTAACCCTTTGGTGTCCTCAGTTTCTGCTCATTATACAGCCCTGTCACTTCTACACCTCTTCCTTCTTAGATTTCTTGTAGCAGCTGCTTCTCTGTGCCTGTTTGTCTGTATCTCTATCACTTTCTAAACCGTTCTCTCCTCTTTCACATCTCTGCTGTCCTCCACTCTTGTTTCTTCTTCCCTGTAGTTTGACAGTATTCTGAAAGCACTTAGTCAAAGCAATGGAGTAGTCCTACCTCCTTATGGCAACAGTCAGGTGAGCCTCTGCCTCTCTCTCTTTCCTTTCTTTGATTCTGCTCTGCCTGTTTTTATTTCTGCCTCTGCACCCCTCTGCTGTTAATAGCCGCTCCTCATGTGGTATTAAATATTATACATTGCTTCCCCGTTATTGCAAATGTTGCCTTGGTGCTGTGCTTTTCAAATCCATGTGGAGAGGACATTCATGGTTAAGAAATGTGGAGGGTGCAGAGTTATTTCAGTTCATCCCAGTATTGTTGAAGAGTTCACCATCTTATGTCGACGTTCGGTGTGGATGGGCAGGTGATGCACAGGTGTGGCATGACTCAGTAGCTGCATGGCTGTGATATCTGCATCTGGGTGCATCATGCAGGCATGCATCTGGAAAAACAAGAAATGTCTCTGTGTTTTTATTTTCAACTATGTTCTCTTTGCTACTTTATGTATTGTGTTTTTTTTCAGTATCTTTTTTACATGCACTCTTAAAAGTGTTACAGATTATTACAAATGTCTTGCTCGCATTAGTTTCAAAGTCAGAGTAAGAGTAACTCAACACAGGGGGTTATTTGTCTGTCATTCAAATGAATGTTGGCATTTATACAGCACGGTCTGAGTTCTTCTTTCAGTGCTTTGATTCTGCAAATGTTTCCGAGAGCTCTATGGGTAGAAGTAATGGAGAAAAATTGGGCCAGCAGCAAAACCGCTTTCCTGCCAGAGCTATCACCATAAGTAACCAAGCTTGCATGAAGGTGCTCCATAAGCTGTTTACCACAAAAATAGATACCAACACTGTCCCTGCAGTTTTTTTATTATATTCTTATGTTGACTAAACTGGAACCTTAATCCGAGTCAGCACAGTAATCCACTCATTTCCGTGCAACATACATAAAGTTTGAGATGTCATTGTGGTCTTTCTGTTGCTCTTGCATCATAACTGCTCTTTGTGTTTGCCTTAAACCAGTGTGTGCATTTTTTTTTGTGTGTGTGTCACCTCAGACCTTTGCTGACTCGGAGGCCATGGGGTCCTCAGTTCCCCAGCTGCTGGAGGACCCAAAGGGGGAGCCTGATCACAGCTCACCTGTGTCTAACTCTGCTAGCGCTAACACTACTACTAACCCTGAGTCTGTCGGTCACAACACTGACCTGCAGGTGTGTCTCTTAATATCTGTCAGTTCAGTCTCTTCCCTGTCTGTTGAATCATATTTTCTTTCTGTCCTTCTTTCTCCTATACATCCATCACATTTAAGAGTATATGTCTTAGTCTTACAGTGATTAAAACTACAGATCCCCTGCCTTGTTTGACTGTTAATGTGCACTGTCATCACACATTTCTTTTTATCAAATTTTTCTCACCGTAATTTCTGTGTTCCATCTCTCTGTCTCTCACTCTCACTTCCTCTTTCGATCTCACTCTCTTTCTGCAGGACTATCCCGATACCAACGGCAATGAGAGTTTAACAGAGGAGAATAGGTGGGTTACCTGATTCCCTTACTGCCTGTGACACCCTTGTATGTTTTTACTGAAACACACGACATACACAGAACAGAAGTTGAATATTAATGCAAAATATGCCTGCCAAGGTTTTGCACCATTATGGCAAAACATGATTTTCACACATCATATATTAGGTATAATAAGCAATATTAATCTTGCTCCAGTATATCCTGCTACTCTAGCCATTGATTACTAATGCAACGTTGTAAAATACATAGTTAATGTGTGTGATTGATTATTTATTTGTGTTATCCTGCAGACCACTGTCTTCCACAGAGAGCCTGCGACAGCTCTCACAGCAACTGAACGGCCTGGTCTCTGAGGTACGATTTTAGCACTGCCAATGTCATCCTGTCTCTCTCTCTCTCTCTGTCTCTGTCTGTCTCTCTCTCTTACACACACACACACACCAACACACACCAACCACACACATTTCTTTGTCATACAGTGTAAGGCTTTTAACAACAACACACCACCACTGATGTGCACTTTCAACTGTGATGTGTTGCTTCTATTCTTGGCAGGAATGCACTGGAAGCATTTTCAAATTTGCCAGTTGTTCCCAATGGCCTCAGACACACTGACAGCATTCAACTGATGCACCAAATCAACTTGATATATTTCCTCTGAACTTGTGTATTGCAATTTGTCCTTTTTGTCAGGTTTCTGAGATTAACATTGACCTTTTATCTACTGAATAATAAAATGATTAATAAGATGTTTAAAGACGATTATCTTGCTGTTCTAATAGTGGCTTGTAAATATAATAAGCACACTGTTTTTATATTACTTTCAAGAAGACATGTTAGGGTATTGTTGCCCCTCATAGTGGTGAAATGTAGGTCTTACACTGCTGACAAACAAATTGCCCATCTGCAGTGCATCCAGTAGAGAGACATCATTTTTCATTCAAGCACATTCATTTTTCTTGTGACAAAAGTGAAACATATGATGAATTTTCTGTTTTGGATGTGCATTAATGCGTGTCTTTGTCATTTCAGTCATCTGCTGCATATGTGAATGGGGATACTGCATCTCCTGGCAATGAGAGAGAACTGGAGGTAAGATTCAAGATTCATCATTTTATTTTTAGTTTATATAGGTAAGATGGAAATCTAATATTGTTTGTTAGATGAAAACTTGTTTTTGAAATTTGAAACCCTGGTTAGAGGTTGACAGTATAGCCAGGACTTCTTTTAAGGTATCATGTTATCACACAATGCTTGCATATAAAGTGAAACTCTATTCAGTATCAACATGCTGTTCCCAGAATGGATTTCCTCTGGCAGCACTTTATTATTTGTCATAGGATAGTATGCTTGCTAGCTAGCTGTCTAAAATGGTCAGCTTCAGGTTTGCAGCACTGGCAATGTAATGTACCCAAAACTCACTGTGACTCTTGTGTGAGGGTGACCTTTCTGGCTTTGTGTACTTTAATTAACCACAAAGTACATTACGTCTACTCCATGTGAGCCTTGAGCTTAAACTTATCATAACATGATATGACAGGTGAAGCTAACAATGGAGGTGTTTTGAAAATGTATTATAATTGCATTCTACAACATTTTAGGTCTCAGTTATTGCTAAAGCTAATGTCTAGCCGGATTGATGAGTGATTGATATGTTAATGTGTGACAGATTAGTTCTAAAGAGAAGTAAATATCACTACAACTTAACACTTAAATGGGATTCCCAAGAATAATTGCAGTTTATATATGAGTATAATACTTTGTATAACTGTCGAGTGGTCTCTCTGGTGAGGGCTATGAAAGTGCAGCTACTGTTAGCTAAAAATTGTCTTGTGCCCTTTTGCACCATGTAATGTTACTTCACTGACCACAATTTGAGACGTCTCTTAGATTGGCCCGTGAAGTGCAGCATGGAAACTGTCAGAGACCTCATATGACAGTCTGGAGAAACTTAAGGCATGTGGATCCCGTCCACATTTTGCAAATGATACTTAAATAGGTTCTAATGAAGGATCCACTACCTTCCAACTGGCTCCATTAATCAGCAACATTCATCATTTATTTTAATTCTTTTCTTCACGTCTCATTATTGAAAACACATTTTGTGCTACTAGTAAAGGTGCTATTGTTTGCCTCCATGTTAATAATTTACATTTGAATTCTTCTCCTCCTCCCATGTGTTCTTTGTTTGACTTTTGCCACTGCACTTTATCCCTCTCTTCTTTTTTTCCCCCCTTTCCCGGATGCATGTGTGCACGTAATAGATTCGGAACCAGGAGCTGGCAGCCGCCCTGGAGTCCAGCAACCTAACAAACTCTCAGCTCAATACCAAGCTAGACCAGCTGGTAAGAAGCTGTGTGTATGCATACTTTTGTGCACACATTTGTGTGATTGGAGAAAAACTTTTTGAGCTATCCCATAATGACCACATTAGTGCATGTACTGCATGCATTTTGCATTTTGCATGTTGAGTAACCACACGCTGGAAGAAATCATGCATGTTTTTCATTATTTATGTATCTTTCACTTAGTTTGACCAAAATGCATTTCTATAAAGTAAAACTCTAGATAATGAGTAATTTGGGTTCACACTTCGGTCAGAGCTGTCATAACCTGATGGTAGATGCCTTATTGTAAGGCGTTTTCTCTCCAGTTAAGCACACTAACAGCAATAAACATCACAGCTTCAAATAAACACTAAAGGTTAACATAACAGAACAGGCTCATTAATTCAGTACTTGATGCTACCCCTGTCCTGTCTGGCATGCAGATAAGGTCTTCTATAATAGAAGTTAGAAGACATCTAGAACTGTAACACTACTGGGGTGATGAAAGAAATGTTGATCTTTCACAAACTTACATTTTATCCTGTTGGTCCGGCAGGTACAGCAATCTCAAGGGCTCTCAGATCAGCTACAAAAGGTAAATACTTCTCTCAGCCAACCAGACTGTCTGTTCATTCCTGTCTCATATTTTCCAGTCTACTGAATTCTTGCTTCCCTCCTCATTCATGAACTTGTTTTTGGTTTTTTTCTTACTTCAGGAGCGAAAAGATTTTGAACAGAGATTTTCAAGAGAGCAGGGAGCCATGCGGGAACAATTACAGGTAACTTCTCTTACTAAAACACATGAATTGAATTTGTGTGATTGTTCATTTTTAGTATTTGTGAAACTGTAATAAGACAAAATTGGTTTAAAAAAAGCCTCTTTGTACTGCCATGTACTGTATCACTGTATGATGTCAGAGTCTGTGGTGTCACCCTGGTATAAACTGGATAGAAATGTGATCCGAGTACACCATTCCAACCCTCCTTTCCCTGATCGCTCACTCTGACAAGAATAAATTGTGTTGTCTGCGTAGCAAGGTTGAAGCACTGACTGTAATTACTCTGTAAAGAATTGTGCTTATTTCATGTTGTGATTTAATGAACTTGATGTTAAGTCAGTTATAATTACCTAGACTCATTAGAAGCTGTGCTCTCTGTTTGTCTGTCCTCTCCCAAGGTTCACATCCAGACTATTGGTATACTGGTATCAGAGAAATCAGAGCTACAAACAGCACTACAATACACACAACAGGCTGCACGGCAGAAAACAGGTGTGTGTGTTTTTATCATGGCAAGACCATACCCCTGCAGCGTTTAGTTAACTTAGTTTTTGTCTCTCTTTCTCTCTCCTTGTGTTTGTCTGTAGCTGAGACAGAGGAGTTGAATAACCGTCTGCAGGCAACAAGGCAGAGAGTGTCAGAGCTGGAGAGAACTCTCTCCTCTGTCTCAACACAGCAGAAACAGTTTGAAAAGGTAACAAACATTGCAGTAATCACTCCCTGTAAACAGAATTCTCTGAGGAATGAGTAATTCAGATGCAATATATAACAAACTTAACTCACAATGACCTGTATGCATTTAAATAAATTATCTTCTGAGATGATTTTGTCATGTTGACGAAGTGCCTTTGTTTTTTTAATAAAGTTGTTTTCTTTTTTGTCTCCAGCACAACAAAGAGCTTGAAAAGGAGAGAGACAACCTGAGGCTAGAGATGTTTAGACTTAAGTAAGTCACTTACCCCTGTTTACACAAGGAGATGTATTTCATAGCATTGCCACTGCAGAAGCTTTGACATTAATGACGATATTTAGTCCATAATGCTGTGTAAATTGCAACAGATGGCATGAGAAAGTCTCCCAAGTCCTGTTAGAATCTGGTAGGTTAGAAATGATGAATAATCTCTGCATATGTGTGTGTCCACAGTAATATGAGTGAAGAGTCGAAGCAGCAGAACTCGGAGATGTCGGAGCAGCTGAAGCTGAGTACCCAAGAGAATGGAGCAATGAGGCTGGAGGTGGAAGATCTTCGCAAGAGACTTGAGATAGCTGACCTCATGTTGCAACAGGTGCATTAAGACACAGACACAACATTTTACAGTACATACACATTTAAACTCCTCTTTCGCTTACTGATAATTGTAAGTGTTGGATTAACTATACGGTCAATCTACAACAAAAGGGGATATTTGGAGTTAGTTTCAATCTAGAGCCCTAAATGTTTTGTTGCAGACAGTGCTGCCAGATGTAATTTTGTATTATCTGCATTTCTCTCCAGTGCTCCAATCAGTCAGATCCCACCAGTGCCAACCAGCAGGTCCAGTTACTGCTGGAAGAGAAGCAGCAGCTGGAGGCACACAATCAACAGGTCTGTGTACAAGGACCGTTCTCCTGCGTCTCTCACGTCTGTCTGTCTGTCTGTCTGTCTGTCTGAATTTAAAGAGTTTTGAGCTTTGGTGCTCAGTGTTTTGATGTATTCTAATGCTTGTGGCTCTTTACCAGATATTTTAGTGTGGTTTGAGCCGTTAAAGCAAGTCAACATTGTACCCAGTAGTGTCCCTGCAGCCATTTCTTCATAGACACGTATATCTCAGCTCAGCCACGTCATCATAATTGCCCTGTTTGCATTTGCATCAAATGACCCATTAGATTTCAATCCATCTCCTTTTCTAATTTTCCTTTTCACTTGTGGTACATAAAAGTTGCAAACTAACCTTATTTTATGACCAGAAAGTGTTGCTTTGTTGACAGCATTTTCCTTTTTATGTTTTTGATGCTGTAGTTGTTGGAGTCGATTGCCCAGCTGCAGACAGAGAGGGACTGTTATGCAGAGCAGATTCAGGAGGAAGGACGTGTATGGAAGGACAAAACAGAACAGCTGCTAACACAGGTAAACTGTACAGTAACCTTAGCGTAGACATTACAGTTGACTAGAGCGTGGAAAATAAAGAGTGCAATGTTGTTTGTTTACTTCATTTTGGTTTCAAACTAATGACTAATTCATCTGTGTCAATTTTTGTTTCTGTGCAGGTGTCTTTGGTCGCAGAGGAGAGGGACAGAAACATTAGCCGAGTCCAAGAACTGGAAGCCAGCATCGCAGAGCTGAAAAATGCTGCAGGTAAGAGGTTCAAATCGCTGTTATCTACATCTGTATCTACCCCTATATGCCTCTTCCTTTTCCTAACTGTTCTGCAGCTCCTTCCTTGATGTCAAGAACACATTTGATAAATAAGCTCTCAATTTGCCTGACCATAGTAGGATTAACAGAATGGGCTCCCCTTATCTTCCTGGAATGAACCTGGATTAAGGTGCATCTGGGAATCATGGAGAGCAAACTTCAGAGGGAAGGAAGACTGGAGCACACTGATTGATGTGTAGGCTTAATAGTGCAAATAGACTCATGTTTGTCAGTATTGTTAACTAGTGTCAAGATGTTAATTACTGTCCAAGTGTTAGTCTGTTAAAGCCTGCAAATTAATACGTGTGCTTCAGTCTTTGTCCCTGTGTGTGTGTGTTGTATTTCCCTGTAGCAAATTTCTTACACTTGATAACTGTAATCCTTCTTGTTCTCCAGCATTATTGTCCCAGGAGAGAGAGGCTCGGGATATTGCAGAAACTCAGTCCTCGGGACCATCAGAGAGTGAGGTGGCTCTGCAGGAGGCACTCAGCACTCTACAACAGGAGAAAGACGCTCTTACAGCACAGTACCAAGCACAGGTATACATTACAGTGACACATGCTCGGACAGGCCTGTTTTACCGAATCACAAATGTAATCAAAACGTGAAAGTCACACCCATATGATCATTAGTTCTCTTTGGTTTCAAATTTTCTAAATCCAGCCATCTGTAATTCCTTTCCCCAGCTGCGAGATAATGAGCAGCTGAGCCGCCTCTGTGCAGAACAGGAGACGCGTCTGGGGGAGCTGGAGCGGCAGGTGGGCAGCCAAGTCCAGGATGAAGGGGACCGCCGGCGCATGTTGGAGGATGTTCAGTCAGACAAGGCCACTATTAGCCGTGCTCTCACCCAGAACCGGACACTGAAGGACCAGCTGGCTGAGCTACAGAACGGTTTTGTCAAACTGGTGAGGCTGGAAATCTAATAGTGCATCCGTCCTTTTTTAATGACATTTATGTTATTATTTATTATTATTGTGTTGTTATTTATATACTGGATACTACTTTTGTTTCTGTCCTAACTTGCTATCATTTTTCAGGGATCATAGCTGTACATCTTTTTGTTTTCCTGCATCCTTTAGCATTTGTGTGAATTTATCCTCTTGTGTCTTTTTCATGTCTTTTGTTATGTAGTTATTGTACCAAGGATCCATGTCTCTATAGCAATAATTTCACACAGTAGGAAAATAAACTCATAACAAGTATTACCTCAGAGGGTGGGAGAGTTCTGACTTTAAGCCAAAATTCCTTTATTTGTACAGACTAATGAGAACATGGAGCTGACCACTGCCATCCAGTCAGAGCAACACGTGAAAAAAGAGCTGGCTCGTAGAATGGGTGAACTGCAAGAGGCACTGCACAATGTCAAGGAGCAGGTATGCTCACACAAACTTATGCACCTTTTCTGTCTTCACTATGCTATCTTGTGCAGTCTTGTATGGTTTATTATACTTGTCAGCATAATAGGCATAATAGTGTATTAACACAATAGAGAAATATATGATAATGGCATCCAGAAAGAATAAAACAATTATTTTCCTCTTTGTTCCCTTGTGTCCAGCTGGAACTTAAAAGTAAGGAGACTCAGGCTCTGATGGAGCAGAGGGACCAGGTAGTGGCCTACCTGCAGCAGTACAGTGCTGGCTACCAGACCCTGGCCTCAGAGAGAGAACAGTTCCACCGCCAGCATCTGCAGCAGATCCAGCTCATGGACCGACTGCAGCATGATGAAAGCCAGGGCCGCTTGCAACTGGAGATCAGTCACAATCAGCTCAAACAAGCGCAGGTGTGTATTTAAGAATAAGGCCTTGTCCACGCGACCATTGATGATGATGATGATGATGATGATGATGATGATGATGATGTATGAATATATTTCAGTCCAGTCTGTTGTGATGTTGGAGTACAGTACATCATGCACTTATGAATAGGTTGAGACTGCTTTAAATGGTCTGAGGTCAGTGCATTATGCAGTATATTTATAGTATGCTGTATAACCTCATCTGTCCCTTCTTTACCTCTCTGACACCCTCAAACACACATGAACTATCTCTCCATCATTGTTTTGAATGACTCTCTGTCTCCCCCTTCAGGAGCATTTGGAGCTGTTAGCCAGAGACAATGAGCAGTTGAAGGCTGAGGTGAAGGAGCTGCTCAACAGCTCAGCTCTTGCCTCGTCATCTAGAGACCAAGGTAAGATTTGTCTATTACTGGTATGTTGGTACTTACTGCCCCCTTTTCTTTTTTTACTGTCATTGTTACAGCGTCTTCATGTTCTATTTCTTTTTCTGCTGCCCTCCTTTTGAAATTCAGTGCCAAAAACTGTACCCTTTACAGGCGTTAATGTTGTTATGGCACACATGTTCAACAGCATACTAGCTTTCTTCTTTCACATTGTTTATTTTGAAAGAGATGCAACCTAGAAAGAGAAAATACTAATAATCAGAAGGTTGGCGGTTTGATCCTTGTCTCCTCCCATTGCTTATCAAAGTGTCCTTGAGCAAGATACTGAACCCCAAACTGCTCCTGATGCTGTGCATCGGTGTATGAATGTAAATGAATGTGTTAGTTCCTGTTTGTGATGGGCTTTGCCAATGTGTGTGAATAGCTGAAGGTGGCATGTAGTGTAAAAGCACTTTGAATGGTCAGAAGACTAGAAAGTTGCTATATAAGTACAGTCCATTTACAAGAAACATCTTCTAATAGCCGAGCTGCAGCAGCAGTTTCAGACCTTCCAGTCTGACCTCAGTCTGTGCCACCTACAGGCAAGGAAAGAGCAGCAGCAATTTTGACACTTGCAGCATTTGTGAATAAGTGTTACAGTCTAAGACCACCTAAGAAAATTGGGTAAAAAAATATGTTAAAGTCTTTTAACAGTTTCAGTCTTTTATTATGTCACTAGGCGATGGAGTGGAAAGCCAGTCCATGCAAGAGAGCCCAAAGAAGTCCTCCTCCATAGTTATCCCAGAAGACTTTGAGAGCCAGAAGGAGATGGTGAGGAGGGTGATAAGTCATCTCCCCTAAAACTACTTGTTTTCCTTTGCTTTGCCTTTTAGTACACATCATGAAGACCTAAATCAAGTGAAGAACTATGCCAGTGTACAGTGATGTATTTTTAATTTTGATGCCAGAATAAAAGATCAATTAATGGTGAAGATTTGAAAGCAAGAAAGGGTTTACAACTACATATGGGACGAAAATTTGACATTAGCCTCATTCATCCGCTCCCTCCCACCATCCTCACCCCGCCACCTTCTGTCCCACCCCGCAGGAGGAGTTTATCCGAGGAGCTTTGGCTCAGTTGGAGGCCGAGAGAGATGAGGCCAGAAGGCAATTGGAGGAAGAGCACAGGCTCCACATGGCAGCCCGGCACCAGACCGCTGTGGCCCTCAGCCTTGAACACCAACACTACAGCCACAAACCTGTTCATGACCACCATCACGAGCATCATGAGCATCACAAGCACGATCACTCGCAGGGCCAACATAGTCAATGTGAACATAGTCATGAGCATTCAGGTGAGGAAGATGGTTTGGGTGCAAGGACGCAAATATTTTTAGGCCAAGATTACACCTCTCCAGAGTAGGACATTGAATTATTATAAATACAGTTAAGCCTGATTATATTCCGTAATGAATTCTGATTATATAGATAAAAAGAATATGGGGTGCATTATGTAAATCAGCTGTTTACTTTACTACCCTTTTCTCAGAAGGAGGAGTACCTGTGGAAGTTCATCAGGCCCTGCAAGTTGCCATGGAGAAGCTTCAGCATCGTTTCACCTCCCTCATGCAGGAGAAAGCTGACCTGAAGGAGAGGGTGGAGGAGTTGGAGCACCGCTGCATCCAGCTGTCTGGAGAGACAGACACTATAGGTGAGACAGTAGGATGTTTGTGTTGTGAATATCACTTACTGTACAACTAATGTTTTGGTTGACTGTAATAAGTTGTCAGAAAAATACTCAGCATACTCATTTCTGTTACTATGTGCTTTCCAGGGGAGTACATAGCCCTGTACCAGAGTCAGCGGGCCATTATGAAGCAGAAACACCACGAGAAGGAGCAGTACATCAGCATGCTGGCTCAGGACAAGGAGGAGATGAAGGTACTGTATAGCAACCTTTTTATATAAAAAGAACCACCAGTGCAGTCAAATATAGTGGCATTAGATGTTTGTCTTGGTGTATTTTTTTGCTCAGTTTTCTTTCTTACCAACATTCAGAGCCTGTAGAGACTCAAGAGAAGACTGATCCTGACAAATGTGACATTGTGACTTTATTTTCCACCTCAGTCTATTTTCATGACAATCCTAAATTGGTGTTTGGCAGCCCAAATCAAAACCGTCAGTCTGCCCTTGAACGTCACTGTTGTTGTGTAAATAACAAGTATGACAAAATGTGATACTGTCTATACTGTTGAGGATCACCTTGCATTAAACTGCACCTTTTATGCAGATGATTTTAACCCGATTACATTTAAACCTTTTTACCTTATTACTATGCATCTCCAGTGTCCACATTGAGATTCAATTCCTCTGAAAATCTAACTATTTAGTTTTTTGTTTATTTCTAAATGAGCTGCGTTGTGACTTTGACTTGTGTGGAGGAACTTTGCCGCTGTTGGCTCGTGGTCTTTAAACCACAAGCTCTCTTTGTATTTCTCTGCTGAGATGTCAAACTTTGGACTTTATTTCAGACTGCAGTACGTATTTTCCACTCACGTAGTTGTTGTACGTGGATTGGCAACGCAATTGCATTTACACTTGAACACTGTCTTGGGTGCATTTACACCTGTACTTTCATGTGGTCAAACCTTATCCAATATCAATCTGATTGCCCAAAACTAATTTTAATGCATGGTGTAAAGGGGTTTAAGAATCCTCCTACGTAATGACCAACATTTCTTTACACAAACACTGATCTTCACAACAGAATGATTTTATCAGTAATCATGTTTAATAGAAGCAACAGTTTTGTAATATCCTCCCAACTAACATTATTTTCCGTACGTGTCCTTGCCGTTGTGTCTCCACTGTCCATCAGATGAAGCTGGCTGAGCTGCAGGATCTGGTGATGAGGCTGGTGGCTGAGAGGAACGACTGGTACAGCCGCTACACCGGAGCTGTGGCCGGCGCAGGCACAGTGAACCCAGACCTTCTTCCTGTCGGGGAGGATCACGCTCACCCAGAGCACCAAGCACACACACACGTAGAGTTTAATGCTGTCAGTGGAGCAGGTAGGCACAACGACTAGTATTGTCCTCGCTACATTAGAAATCAATGCAAAAACAATTCTACAATGACCTTGTGTCCAGACGATGGTCGGGAAGCGGAGGGGGAATAGCTTGTTGTGGCCAAAAGGACAGGAAATGGCGTGGTTATTGGAAGTAATTTTTGACGTGTGCACCTTTTTGTGAAGCTTAATACAGCATGTAGAACAATTGACAAACTCCTCAGTCATTGTATCTGCTGTTGTTTATAAAATGGCAGCAAGACGGCAAAAAACAACAATACAAAAAGTTAAGGTTTGAGGCAATACTGGAGGTAAACGGACATTGTGGCACAGTGTGGTTTCTGCATAAAAAACCATCCTAATATCTTATTTAGCCTAAAGTCAGAGAAGTGCAGTCTATGGAAATGATAGGTTTGTACTGTTCTTCGTATTAAGAATAAAAATACGGCCTGTTCTCATTATGAAGAGTAAAAATCTTGGATGTAACTCTCTCTGCTGCAGAAGCCATGGAGGTCATTCCTCTGTCGGAGCCCACCACAGACCTGGAAGCCTCCTCGTCCCAGACGCTTTCGACCGCGTCGGCCCACGCTGACTCCAAGTCCCAGGGGCCCAAAGAAGACGGCACAGCCCAGCAGATCATGCAGCTGCTCCAGGAGATCCAGAACCCCCAGGGAGCACTAAGGTCACCCCACTTCCTCGGAGAAAACCCCTGCATCCCCTTCTTCTACCGGCCTGATGAACAGGACGAGGTCAAGATCCTGGTGGTGTGAGTTGCGGGTGTGAAGGAGGCTGGTGTGTATGTGTGAGAGATATTGGACATGTCTTGAAGTCTGGGGAATATTAAACACCACAGTTTACCGTCTTTGTAGCTTATTTATCATATTCATAAACACTTTGACACCCTGCAAAACTGGTCACTGGTCTTTGACCCAATTACATGAAAATGTCCCCTCTCTGTTCTGTGCGTTGGCACTAATGTGTGCATGGTTAAAAGTCTTTTCTATTTGTCGTTTTTATGTTTTGGGGGTTGTTTTTGTCTATGATGCTCTTCCCAGAGAAGAGATGATCAGTATTCCTTAATGTAATCTGATAAGTCTCCTTACCACAATTTTTAATTCCCATCCTTCCTCTCGTCTCCCGTCTTACACATAAGTGCAATAAAGGGGGCCGTATATTCTGCCTCCTCGCTGATAAAGTACTTAAAGAGCTGTCAGAAAATTAGCAGCGTGTTCGTGTGCAACTTAATTTTAGTGCAAATCTCAGTTTTACACAATTCACTGTACAAATGCCAAAAAAAAGAGCATCACGTTTGAATGTAATAACGAGAATATTTACCTGTGTGTCTGTGTAATGACGAAATGTGAGGAGAGCGGATGATGGTGAAAAGGCGGAGAAGAGACGGAGAGTGAGGTGTTAAGTTAAGTCGGAAAAGAAACTCGGTGCACATAATAGCTTTTGAACTGAAGGCGCCGTTCTGTTCCAAAGTGAAGAGCTCGCTAGTTACATGATCAGGTTGGGGAAGGTGGAGGCCGGTGTCGCAGATTGGTACTGTCCCTGAAACTACCTTTTCTCTACATTGTCTTTTTGCTCCAAACACTGAAAAAGAAGTCGTATGTTTGTACAGTGCGAAATGTTAATATATGTGAAACCTTTGTGTTGTGACGTCACACATCCTGTAAGAGGAGTCACCACCGTTACAAAAAGGTGGTTTCTGAGTCATTAGGGGAGAGATGCAATTTAGAGACCCCATGAAGAAAAAAACTAATCAGTCAAAGTTATTAAGCCATTTTTTTCTGATTAGTTGCTGAAACAGTGGAGAAGCACATCTTCACACTGTAATTCAGATAAATAATAGAGCTTGGGGTGCGGTGCCAGGGCCTGCTTTCCAACTATTGTTTTCTGCTTTATCTTTGCCATTAGTGTGAGGAAGTTGCAGGAAGTTTGGTGTTAAAATCTCTTCATCTGCACTCATAGTTCACCTTTCTTCTTCAGTTATTCTACCCCACAGTATCATCACTCAAGTCATGAAAATCTATATATATATTTATTTCCTCGTCAGAGATGCTCATCCATAACTGAGCTCTGACCTCTATTTCATGGGGTCTTTAAGTTTGTAATCAAATTGACACTATTAATAAGAGCCTGTTCTGTTCTGTTACGTTTGCATGTAGTTCCACATATCAAAGATGACTCGATGCACATCATTTACAACTGGACTGTGAGTGTATGTGATGCGTGAGTGTAATCCAGACCGTTTCCTCTTCAACCGAAGTCCCATCTGTTTTTTTTTTTTTTTTTGTAGGGTTCTATCGGATAATATAAGTATGATTGCACTAAAACTGTACAAAGCTTCTCATTCAGCTCTGTCCCCTCTGGCTGGTTGGACCGATGACGGTTCTATCATAGAGCCTCTTAGCTGGCTTAATAATGTCTGGAGAAAAAGGAGAATCCTATGAAGCCTCTCTCTTAAGCTGAGGGTTCCAGTTGAAGCAAATTGAATTGAAAGTGTGTGTGCGTGTGTGCAGCGTTGCACTTAGAATATGAAGGAGGACGGTGTGTAAATATAAATAGAAGGTAAATTAAATGAGATTGCTCACTTCAAGAAGTCGTGATGTTATTCCCGAAAGAGAGGGACCAATCAGAATTTGAGAAAATGAACAACTCTTTCCAAAACTGGAGGACAAAACTAATCAGCTTTGTCATGTTCATATTTTGACCAACAACACTTGAGTAAACCTCGTTTGGGCATTAAAAGGGTCCCAAGATCTGGACCGATGTTTCAGGCTTTAAGAGATGCTCATATTCACAAATGTAGATTGGAGGATGAATTGTTTGGCATCTTCATTGAGAACTACACAATCACAGCTGAATTATTTTTTATTTTTTTTCCATTTCAGATCAAATCTTGGCAAAGGCCTCTGTTTTGTGAGAGTCTTTCCATGATTTGAATATGCAAGGTTATGAGGGTCTCACTGTAAGTCATACAAAAAAAATAAAAATAAAACACAAACTACTTTTGGAGGTATTTTTACCCTCTTATTTGGACGTCTTTTAATTTTTAAGATCCTCTTTGTTGTGTTCACTTTGAAGAAGAGTAGACATTGGCGTCAAATATTAAATTGCACGCTTGATATTTATCCCTGAAAGCAACGGGACAGAAGGCATTGGTGGTATTTTAAACCTATTATAGGAAGCAAAATGTAATTAAAATATAAGGTATGTGGAGGCCATATTTACTTGGTGTTTTTTTACAGGGAAAGTAAACAGCACTGTGTCTACCCTAAACCACAGCACTTTATAAGTAAACGCTGTGGTTTCTCTCATTCTTGATTTTTTTTTTTTTAATTCCTCGCTTCATAGCATTCTGTCACTTTTTTTGTTTCCTTTGAAACATGCCGCAAAGTATGATTTTCCTTCATTTTGTTTCTGGGAGTGGGCAGAGAGGTAAATATACAATAAAATCCTTGTAGTGTTGTTTCGGGGCTTGTAAAATAACAAATAAAACAACTTCCCACGCTTTCTAATTCACTGTTAAATATGTTATGCGTGATTGAAAGAACTAGCAGTGAGAAAGCATTTATTGTCTTTACTGTAAGAGAGGTGGTGTATATACTGTAACTGTGTAAGATATTGTATATTCATTATGCCTGGTGTGTGGGGGGGAAGCTGCTCTGCCATGTTTACTGGCAGCGTGGACTGCGTGTATGTCTGTTAGTTCAGAGTCGGGCGTTGGCAGTTGGCTGTGATTTAATACAAAGATTGACTAAAAAAAGAAAATATTATATTTATTTGGTATAAGTTAGTATCTCAACTAATCAGTTTTAATGTAAAATAGAAGTGACTGTTGGATGGAAAATAATTATTATTCAGAGAACTGATCTGTTTGAGGGCTGCTTCTGACAGAAGCTTACTGATTTTTTTTTTCCTTGAGTAATATTTTCTCTCCTTCTCCTGAATAAAACTGATTGAGCGACTTACACACACTGTGTCTTGTTTTCTGTATAGTGTTGATTCTCCAAACAGTCCTCCTGTGCACTTTGACTGTAAATATACAGCAGACGGTTTGACTTGTCATAGTAGGAAAAGTGTAACTGATGCAGCTAAATGGAATTCAGCCATATTTTATTGTATTAGTTACACTTATGTTATACCTAACATTCCAGAAACTATGAATATGCAAATAGATAGATGTTTTCCTTCTAGACACAAGATGTCTTCTACTTCCCTGTAAAGTCTTTTCTTAGTGTATGTGCACTGCTGGCTTAAAGTAGAAGTTAAATATTGGTCCAGGAAGCAGTTTGCACCAAACGCTTACCCTACCTATGTTTTGTAACTTAAAAATAATATCAAACAATGTTTGCTTCTTTTGGTGCAGGAATGAAAATGATTCGTCCTCAACATTTGTTGTGTAATGGTTTCAGAGTGATTAAAACAGATGGAGAACAATTAGATACAAAACAAGATGTATGTTTTTCCAAATTATGTACCGATTTGTTGGCAATCTAATTCATCTGTCTTGAAAAATGGTGCATATAGCTGCCATAATAGGAAAAAAAATCTCCCTGGACCCTAAGCCCCAAATGTTTACAGCATCCGGCTCCACTCCTGGTCTTAATAACTATTGGATGGACTGCCATCCAAGACTCTTCTTATCAATATATGAATAGTGAACATTGTAATAAATCTCCAAAAGATCTTTTGTTTCTTAATAAAGTTAATAAACAGGAAACTTAGTTCAGTACACTGAGGTTTTTAATGTGTTGACGAAGCACAGCAGTCCTACAGGTTAAAGTTGACCGTTCATCCACAGCAGTTTGAACATGATGCAGGACCTGGCTGCTGCAGGAGTTGACACATTCACACTGTCCCTCCCTGCTCTTCTACACACAGGGAGAAACAACAACAAAAAACCTCTGCTACAAGCTAAAGTATCAAACAACCTGACAACTTCCATATACATCACTGCATTACACATGTTTGATATATTTTTCAAATATTGTTCCCTTATACACATACTCATTTATTCATAATAATTTAAATATTCAGAAATTTCTTACATTACAGACTAAAATCTCTAGACAGTGGAAGTACAAGTCCCATAAGATGCACCACACATATACATAATAACACATTAAGATATGTCCATAATAAACTATTTACTGTTAAATAATAAATACAATATGCTAGGCTGTGTTTGCGTGGGGTCACTGAAGTGTTTCAGGTCATTTTTAAATGGCTATAATGACATCAATTGAGGTACAGACGTAGGTTTTTTTTTTTTTGTGGCTGGTGGGTTGGTTGTTTTTGGTTGGGGTCAGAATACAACACACTGACAGCGGCGTTCAGTTGTGAAAAGATGGGTTGAACTCACAGGCTCACAAGACAGCGATGTGAGGGTGAAACAGGAGGAGCGATTGATAGTGTTATGCATAGAATGTGGCTGTTTTCATGTTCTCACTCACCCCCGTGACCACTGAGAGAAGAAAGGAAAAGAAGAAAAAAAAAAGAGGAAGAAACAGACAATGAATGGCAGATCTTGACCTGGATAAAATTCTGAACGTTTTCCTGTCAGTATGTCAGAATTTATGCATAATGTGATCCCAGCTGACTTAGAAAGACACTCCAAATATGAAAAACCTTTCCCATCATGGGACCTCATCCCCTCTGAATGAAAAGGAGCTATCTAACAGTCTCAAGGAGCAACCCAGGACACATATTTCTTTCCTCTCGCCTAAAAACTCAGATTCTTGTGTGACTCGTGTTATGCAGCTGTCTGCAAAGGACATCCTATATATTGCACTTTCTATTTAGATCCCGCCTTGATATGATAACAATGTTTTTGTGAAGAGGATAGTCGGACAAGTGCCATGGGAGGCGCCTCTTTATGCCCAAAAAAATATTGGGAAATCTTCTTTTTTTTTTTGCATAGGTTCTGTCAAAGCACAGACAACAGCGTATTTGAGAGGTGGTTGTGACACAGTTATGTGGACTATCTAGCTGTCCCCACATTCAGTGACAGTGACAGTGAGGCCCTGCTGGAGTCTACAGCAGGCATAAAAGTCCAGATGGGTCTTCATGTGATCGCTCCACCAGTCCTAGGAGGGGAGAAAGAGGAGGATGGAAAAAAAGGATAAAGAGCAGCAGCCCGTCTGTCCAGGTATCTGAGGATGAGGAGTCTGTAAGTGATCCCCCCCTTATTTCGTTCCTTGTGTGAGCTAAGTGAATAAGCTCGTCTGTTTCATACTTGATGGGGGAAACCAGGATGAGTTACAAAAGAGAGGTGGTAAAGGGGAGGATTTGGGGAGGTTCTTTTAAGAGTCGAATGGCGGCAGGGGGCTCTCGGGGCGAGAGGGTCCGCCCCTGTTTGGTCGGCTGTTCGGTGAAAAGAGAGAAAATAAAAGAAGACCTTACATCGCAGGATGAACGAGTAGAAGATGAAAAGAGAAATCATAAAGGTGAGGAGACCCCAGGGAGATACCGCACAAATAAATCACCTCATAGCCTGAAATTCTGGGAGGAAAATAAGGATTTAAAAAAGAAATTTGGTGAAGTATTCCTTTATTTAAAATATAAATTAAGCTAAAAAGATTTTTAAAGATAAAACAAATGTTAACACAGGAAAAGTCAGTCAGCAGCCAGAATACCCATCAGAAAGGCTGGAGTATAAAGTAATACTCAGGCAAAGTGTCATGCTAAATTTGCAAATGTCTGCCACCTTAGGTTTACCAGCAGGAACGAATATTCTGTACGTATTTGCTTGTATATATATATATATATATATGTGTGTGTGTATTTATGTAAGCAGGTGTGCATGCACATGTGCGCATACACTCATATTATCTACATAGTTTATTTAAATTCGGAGGGTGCAGCATGTTTGTATGTCAGTCATGCAGGTGTATTTCAAGTATTCTGCATCTCTGTGTGAAACAGAGGGGTTTGTGTGTGTGTGTGTG